ACTAAAACAAATGTTTTTAATACATATTTTACAGAAATATAGGTGTAATAAGATGATAGAAAAAATTGACAGTCCTAATAGAATTGCGTCTACTAAAACTATAACCATTAATTCTATTCGTAATTTTTTATGTACCCCATAAAAAACAACGAATTAATAAAGCATATATCACTATTAAAAAATAAATAAGTGACCTGGATGGATTATCGGTAGTTACAATTAAAAATATACACCATTGAGGTAAAATTTTGGCAGGCGAGACCGACTTCAAGCGACAGGCAGCAAGCAGCAAATCCTGCTGTCGTCGGTCGCGCCTTCCCAAATGTGTTTCTTATAATTACATGTGTTCGGAAATGAAGAAACCATTTTCGCTGTCGTTTTACGCCTGTCTCTTTACTCGGTCTCGCCTGACGGGCTATCAATTCTGGTGAAGGCCAACACTCCTTGGTACGGGCCAGTAGTCCTTGTGAAGGGCCAACACCTCTTGTGACGGGCTGACACTTCTCGTGACAGGCCTATACTTCTTGTGACGGGCTAGAATTCCTTGTGATCAGCTAGTATTCTCGTAACTGGCTAGCAACCTGCTAGAAGATACCTTTAAGACAGGCAGTTTGATTTGTATGCTGCTAACGAAGCAGAGACATCAACGTCTACTAGAGTTTTCCCATCTGGAAAGAAGTCACGGTGTACATTTACATTTTTCAACGAGAGAACCATTCTAACCTCCAAGCTAGCAAGAACAAATCAATCTACGCGCGTAACAGTAGAAAATGTGCCATTAAAACAATTATAAAAAGATCGTTCAAACCAGCATGTTTTGAATTCAATTATATATAAAGTTATCAACAATTTTAATATGGTTAAAATAAATTGGTTAACAGAAACAATCATTATAATTTCTGAATTCCACGACAATCAATCTATCAACAAAATTTTGTGCAAGATTCTTCATAAATACAGTCTACAACTCTCTCCTGTACATTGGAAGGAATCCTTAAGTATACAGCGATAATTTAAAGAGAAAACAGAAATACAGATAAATATCTTTAATGATAAAAAATAGACACAGTTTGACCTTCCTAACACAAGAACAACCTCAGTAAAAAGTCATATTTTGTTTAGTATTAACTCTTACATACATTTTTGATAAATTTTGAAATTTGGTAACACTCTCACTATATCTGGTAAAATTCTGAAGTCGATAACACTTTCTAAAGTGTTTTATTTGAAATTAATGAAATCGAGAATAAAATATTTAAAAATGTTATAATTTGTACAAATGTAATAAAGAATTCGCAAAAAATAATTAACATACATATATTTACTTCTCGGTTTCCGTTCTCCATTTTAGAACAAAATAAAAATACTCCCATTTTATTGCTCAGGACGTACAATAATAAATATATTTTTTTTATTATTTTCTTCCAAGTTTATCGTCCATAAAAAGTTCAGATGGGTGTTAATTTATGTATACATCCACTTTTAGACATCTTAAGATGTTTACGTTACTTTTTTTCGAAAGTAAAGTATGTAGAAATGATTATGAATAAGTGTAAATAAAAATAGGATCGGTTTAAGGAGGATTACTTTCTTATTTGTGTATTTCTTACTTGTATTTTGTCTACACCATATGGACTAAATTCAGTAACTGTTCATATTTATAAAGTTTCATATTTATAAAGTTTAAAACACTTCAATTTTCACCACTACTTTCGAGTGACAGTGGCAGTCCCCAAATTTGTAAATAGGAACTAGAGACTTGTGATACCTCATTTAAATGGTCTCTTTATTCTATATTCTTTCTTATTTTTCTTCAACTCCTTTTCAACCTTTTTAAAACATTATTTTCGTCCTTTTATCTCATTTAAACTTTATTTTATCTAACTTCAACCTTTTTTACAAAATCTTTTCATATTACTATTTTTTTTTTAATTCTAGAGATCTTCCAAATCTGACAATTGTCTCACTGACATCTTCATTCCAAAATTTAACTTTCTATATCTTTTTATTTAACTTTTCTTAATATTTCTAACATCTTACATATTTTTCAATTCCAAAACCCCTAAATATGACTCCTGGGGTACCCTAGAAGTTGCTAGACAAAATTTTAATGTCAATTTAACTATTGGTCTAAATTTTGATAAAAAATTAACAATATTTTGTAAACAAAACTATTTTTATATGAAAACTTCATTTAGTTTTGGTGAACCGACTCTGGTCTGAAAAAATCGAAATAAACAAGAGCGGCGATACATCACACATCTGGTTGACAAATATATTAAGCATGTCGGTATTTTTCGTGTATAAATCAAAGAATTTACGTCATCTTTTCGTGGCATATTTAATAACCCACCTAATTTGCTAATAAATTTGTAACCAGCGATGACAGAATTATTACGGAACACTCAGAAAACTGTATACATATATTCGTTTTCATGTTTATTTATCAACTGTTAAAGACGATTAATATTGTTTGCAAAAAGAATAAAAGGATTACTTTTAGAAGTACCTATAAATCAAAATTTTTACAAATTATCCTTGGAAAATGCTTTAAATATATTTCTTTGATTTTGAAATAGTTTAGTGATATTATTGATTGATATTACTAATATTTGGAAAATATGTACACATAGGCTTGTTTCTGATTATAAATAAAATCTACAGTAGTTACAACAGGAGTTGTACTTACTATGCTTTTTATATTTTTCCTTTTTGTGAAACAATATACTGGGTATGCCAGCTTTTAGTTAACAGGCTCTAACGATCTAAGGGTGCTTTTATAATTCTGTAATATTTTTACTAATCCAAATTTCTTCTCCAAGAATTCGGAGAGAAACATAAGTGTTACTGTACTGGCTTGATGTAATATACAAAGTTAGCTAACCTAACCTATTGACAGATATCAAAAATCGATCTAACCTAACATATGTCAGCTGTCATCTGGTTATCTAACATATGGCAGCTGTCAACAGTGTTGCCAACCTAACCCGAAAATTGATAGCTACGAAGTTGGCTAACCTAACCTTACATGTCAAAAATCGGTCTAATGTCATTTTCTATCCGCGCCATTTTTTATTCTGAGTTGTCTACTCGAAATCCTGCCCAGTGACCAGCGCCTGATTTGAACGGGGAGAACGGTTGAGTGTGGGGGGAGGAATTACGTGCGTGGGAAAACCTGCACAGTGGCCGTAAGCCATCCAACCTAACGCCTGGCAACATGAAGAACTGGAGTATGGCCTAAGAGAAGAGAAAGAAAGAGGGGGTGGCTTAGGCCTAACGCCTGGAGACATGAAGAACTGGAGGCTGGGGGATGAGTGGATACCTAAGTGCCATATACGAAAAGCCATGACGCCTGAAGATATGAAGAGCTGAAGGCGAGGGGAGGATAGTAGGCTGAAGTAGAATAACATGGGAAGTGGGGTAGTGGGGGGAAAATTACATGCGTTAAAGAGACGAGAAAGTGACCAAAACGACAAACGGAAAGACAGAGGGCGACAGACGGAAAGACAGACAAATGGAAGGAGGAGGCAAACATATGGTCAGACGAACAAATAAAGTCATAGAAAATCGTACATATTCAATTGGCATTACATCGATGAGTAAGTAAACAATGCGTTGTAGCTGTCAGAATGATAGGAAGAGGAAGCCAAAAAGGCCATGGTTTTGATATTGAGAATAAGCTAAGTGACAGGTAGAAATCTCATCAGCGTCGTTTGTTCATAGGCGTATCGTCATTGCAAATATTAATATCAAGTTAACAAAATACTCTTTGTTTATTGTCGTACATCCTCGTTAGTCATCGTCGTTGTCTGGAGAACTGGAGGATCTTCATACTCTTCGTTTCATTGTCGTACGTTCTCGTTACTCATCGTTGTTGTCTGGAGGAAATACTTTTCGTTTCGTCGTTGTATATCATCGTTAGTCTTCGTCGTTGAATAATATTAACAAAATAACAAGATACTTCTTATTCATTGTCGTATTATTTAATTTATAACTACAATTAATTTATAATGCAAAACGTAAATAATCACCTAACCTGAATTTTCATGCTAAAGAACTGTAATTGCATATTTAATATAACTTTTAATTCAAAATAACTTTATAACATTCTTCTGTATTGCAAAAATAAAGGTACTTTACTCCTGAGTAAAATTTATATTTTTTGGCAAACCTCGTATACGGTTTAAAAAAAATGACATCTGATGGTTGAATTTTAAGTTTTGGACCATGCAGAACTTTTAATCAAGAATAAAATTTATCACAAAACCAATAATATTTATAATAGATTATTCTTAACATTCTTACGTTAAGTATTTATCCCAAGTAGGTACCTGCGACCCTAATTAGACAGCTAAATATGTAATTCCTCATAAACGAGAAGAACCTCGCTATAGAATTGGTAGATTGACAAAATATGGAGGTTAAAGAGTCTAGCTATATCTACATAGGAAAGGATTAACTAAAATTTAAATTTAAATAATGTTACCAAAAACCGCAAGTGCTGTGGTGTCCTTAAACTCACCTCATTAGTAACTTTGGTTGCCAAGAATGTTTAATTATTTATTATTTGATATAGACGTATTGTTCTTCCTCTTCAATTATATAGTTTGCATTTTTACAACCTTTTATTTAAGAATTATGTTCCTACAGATAGTTCCTTTTATCTGCCCAATTATAAATTTGATATTTTGTTTTAATTGTTTAAGTGTTTTGAATGAAACATTTTGTTTTCTTTAATAGGTACATAATAAATCTGACACTTCTCCATATGTAGCCGCTACCCGATATTATTTACAGTCCATTACTATATACAGACGAACTGTTACATTGAAATACCCAAGTATTAACAACACCAATAAATTACACGTATATCAAATTTCACCTATAAGTTTTATGACACATCTATAAACTTATAAACAACGCAACGTTTATGTTACGTTGATGTTCAAACAAACGAGTCGACCGATTTTACGAGACTAATATTTCTTGTTTTGTTGCAGTGGGTGGAGGAGTCTTTCACGAATTTCCAAAAGGGCATTAATTGGAGATCGTATGTAGTCTGTGATGTGGCCTACAACAATGTTAACAACTGGTTGTGGACGCCGTTTATAGATAGGAACGTTTCGAACAGGATGTACATTGAAATTAAATTTACGATACGGGATTGCAGTCTTTTTCCTGGTGAGTTTTATTTTTGTTTATTATCGCCGATTTTCACTTTTGTATTTTATTGTTTCTATCATTTAAATTTAATAAAAAGTGTTTAAAAGATTAAGACAAAAATACACCTATGAAAAGATTTCCTAATTTACGTAAATATGCTTAAATTCACTTAAATTTGCCAAAATTTATTCAAAATTACTGACAATTATTCAAAATTACACAAAATTATTCAATTTTATTAAAATTTAATTAAACTTACTTAAATTTGCTCAAATTTACTTAAATTTACCTAAATTTGTTCAAAATTATTTAAAATTACTGACACTCCAAATTACTCAAAATTACTCAAACTTACTCAAAATTACTTAAAATTACTTAAATTTACTAAAACTTACTCAAAATTAGTCAAACTTAATCAAAAGTACTCAAAATTATTCAAACCTACTAAAAATTAGCAGACTTACTCAAAATTCCTTAAATTTATTGAAATTTACTTAAATACACTTAAATTCGATAAAATTTGCTTAAATTCGATTAAATTTACTTAAATTTGCTTAAATTTCCTAAAATTTACTTTAATTTTCTAAAATTACTCAAAATTACTTAATTTTATTGAAATTTACTTAAATACACTTAAATTTGCTCAAAATTGCCTAAATTTGTTCAAAATTATTCAAAATTTCTGACACTTACTCAAAATTACTCAAACTTTCTCAAAATTACTCAAACTTACTCAAAATTACTCAAACTGAATCATAATTATTTAAAATTAATCAAAATTACTCAAAATTATTCAAACTTACTCAAAATTACTCGCAATTACTTAAATTTATTGAAATTTACTTAAAAATACTTAAATTTGATTAAATTTACTTAAATTTGCCTAAATTTGCTTAAAGTTATTCAAAATTACTGACACTTACTCAAAATTACTCAAACTTGCTCAAAATTACTTTGATTTTATTGAACTTTACTTTAATACACTTAAATTTTATTAAATTTGCTTAAATTCGATTAAATTTACTTAAATTTGCCTACATTTACCTAAATTTGCTTATATTTGTTTAATTTTTATGAAATTGACTCATAATTACTAAAATTACTCAAAATTACTTAAATTTATTGAAGTTTAATAAAATTTACCTAAATTAGATTAAATTTGCTCAAATTTGCCTGAAATTGCTCAAAATTATTCAAAATTACTGATACTCAAAATTACTTAAATTTATTTAAATTTTCTTAAATACACTTAAATTCGATTAAATTTGCTTAAATTCGATTAAATTTACTTAAATTTACTTAAATTTGCTTAAATTTACTTAAATTTGCTTAAATTTACTTATATTTTCTAAAATTACTTAATTTTATTAAAATTTACTTAAATTTACCTAAATTCGATTAAATTTGCTTCAATTCGATTAAATTTACTTAAATTTGCTCAAAATTGCCTAAATTTATTCAAAATTACACAAAATTACGGACACTTACTCAAAATCACTCAAACTTACTCAAAATTACTCAAAATTACTCAAAATTACTCAAAATTACTCAAAATTATTCAAAATTACTCAAAATTACTCGAACTTACTCAAATTTACTCGAACTTACTCAAAATTACTAAAAAAATTCAAACCTACTTAAAATTAATTAAATTTATTGAAATTTAATTAAATTTACTTAAATTTGATTAAATTTACTTAAATTTGGCTAAATTTGCTCAAAATTACAGACCCTCACTCAAAATTACTTAAAATTACTCAAAATTACTAAAACTTACTCAAACTTGCTCAAACTTACTCAGACTTACTCAAAATTACTCAAAAAAATTCAGACTTACTCAAAATTGCCTAAATTTATTGAAATTTAATGAAATTTACATATACTTAAATTTGTTTAAATTTGCCTAAATTTGCCTAAATTTGCCTAAATTTGCCTAAATTTGTTTAAATCTGCTTAAATTTGCTTAAATTTGTCTAAATTTTAGGAAATGGTGAATATATTTCTGTCATTTACACCATACTGTATATTTTCTTCAATCTTGACCAAAAATTAGATAACAATACATACGTTATTGTTCCCCTATCCGAATCTATTGACCCGTCAAACTATTTCTTTATGTAATTTATGCCACTTTACTACTTTTGGTATTATTCTGACAAACCATCATCAGTTACTTACATCTTAATAACAAAAATTCCAATAAAATCTCGTTAAACACTCTTTTTGACCCTTTTCCGCCTCATTAGTCACAATTAAGATATATGGGCAGCTCTTTTACAGGGTTGGTCTGTAGATATTGGCCAAAAATAATTGTATAATTTTTGTTGTCCGTTTAAAATAGAAAGCAGGTGGAATTTATATAATAAAATTTAGTAACCTTCATTTTATATAATATTTTGTTCAAAAGGCTTAATTTCACTTATGAGTTTATAATTTTTGTAAAACTGGACCATAGTTCAGTTAAAAATTGTTTCAGTTTACATGGTTACTTTATCCGCCATATCCACTAGTCTTGGCACTTCATGATTACTTACTACTTAATTTGTTCTTTACAAATCAGCATGAATTTTAAACTCTACAAACATTAATTTTACTAAATTATACTTAATTTTATTTAAATTTACTTAAATTTACTTAAATTTACTTAAATTTACTTAAATTTACTTAAATTTACTTAAATTTACTTAAATTTACTTAAATTTACTTAAATTTACTTAAATTTACTTAAATTTACTTAAATTTACTTAAATTTACTTAAATTTACTTAAATTTACTTAAATTTACTTAAATTTACTTAAATTTACTTAAATTTACTTAAATTTACTTAAATTTACTCAAATTTACTTAAATTTACTTAAATTTACGTAAATTTACTTAAATTTACTTAAATTTACTTAAATTTACTTAAATTTACTTAAATTTACTTAAATTTACTTAAATTTACTTAAATTTACTTAAATTTATTTAAATTTACTTAAATTTACTTAAATGTACTTAAATGTACTTAAATTTACTTAAATTTACTTAAATTTACTTAAATTTACTTAAATTTACTTAAATTTACTTAAATTTACTTAAATTTACTTAAATTTACTTAAATTTACTTAAATTTACTTAAATTTACCTAAATTTACTTAAATTTACTTAAATTTACTTAAATTTACTTAAATTTACTTAAATTTACTTAAATTTACTTAAATTTACTTAAATTTACTTAAATTTACTTAAATTTACTTACATTTACTTATATTTACTTAAATTTACTTAAATTTACTTAAATTTACTTAAATTTACTTAAATTTACTTAAATTTACTTAAATTTACTTAAATTTACTTAAATTTACTTAAATTTACTTAAATTTACTTAAATTTACTTAAATTTACTTAAATTTACTTAAATTTACTTAAATTTACTTAAATTTACTTAAATTTACTTAAATTTACTTAAATTTACTTAAATTTACTTAAATTTACTTAAATTTACTTAAATTTACTTAAATTTACTTAAATTTACTTAAATTTACTTAAATTTACTTAAATTTACTTAAATTTACTTAAATTTACTTACATTTACTTACATTTACTTATATTTACTTAAATTTACTTAAATTTACTTAAATTTACTTAAATTTACTTAAATTTACTTAAATTTACTTAAATTTACTTAAATTTACTTAAATTTACTTAAATTTACTTAAATTTACTTAAATTTACTTAAATTTACTTAAATTTACTTAAATTTACTTAAATTTACTTAAATTTACTTAAATTTACTTAAATTTACTTAAATTTACTTAAATTTACTTAAATTTACTTAAATTTACTTAAATTTACTTAAATTTACTTAAATTTACTTAAATTTACTTAAATTTACTTAAATTTACTTAAATTTACTTAAATTTACTTAAATTTAATTAAATTTAATTAAATTTACTTAAATTCACTTAAATTTACTAAAATTCACTTAAATTTACTAAAATTTACTTAAATTTACTAAAATTTACTAAAATTTACTTAAATTTACTCAAATTTACTTAAATTTACTTAAATTTTCTTAAATTTACTAAAATTTACTCAAATTTACTTAAATTTACTTGAGTTACTTCAAAATCACTTAATTTTACTTAATTTTACTTAATTTTACTTAATTTTACTTAATTTTACTTAATTTTACTTAATTTTACTTAATTTTACTTAATTTTACTTAATTTTACTTAATTTTACTTAATTTTACTTAATTTTACTTAATTTTACTTAATTTTACTTAATTTTACTTAATTTTACTTAATTTTACTTAATTTTACTTAATTTTACTTAATTTTACTTAATTTTACTTAATTTTACTTAATTTTACTTAATTTTACTTAATTTTACTTAATTTTACTTAATTTTACTTAATTTTACTTAATTTTACTTAATTTTACTTAATTTTACATAATTTTACTTAATTTTACTTAATTTTACTTAATTTTACTTAATTTTACTTAATTTTACTTAATTTTACTTAATTTTACTTAATTTTACTTAATTTTACTTAATTTTACTTAATTTTACATAATTTTACTTAATTTTACTTATTTTTTACCTAATTTTTCATATTTTTCCATAATTTTCGATAAGTTTCCATAATTTTCCATAATTTTTTATAATTTCCCATAATTTTCCATAATTTCCCATAATTTTCAATTATTTGTGCATAATTTTCCATAATTTTCAATTATTTTTGCATAATTTTCCATAACTTTCTAAAATTTTCCATAATTTTCCATAATTTACCATAATTTACCATATTTTACCTAATTTTACTTATTACTTGCAAGAAAAAAGAATTATTGTGAAATATCTCTAATCTTTTAGTCACAATTTCATTTTATGAAGTCCATCCCTGTCCCTATTGATTTATTGGACCTTGAATAACACCAATAATAGAGAAAAAAGAAGGGTCGAAATTAAGGGCGATCTGATTGTATGGTTTCCTCACAGTTTCTCGATGTTTTTATTGCCTATTAGATGACCAATTGTGTAAGAAAAACTATAAACACTGTCACTTCCAAATTTATATGGAAACATGTTTGTGAACAAAAGTTAGACGGAGTAAATAAAATGCTGTTGGTTATTACTTCATTTAATTTGTAGGAATTGATGTATGTGATTGTACTTTATATTTATTTAAATAAATAAGTTTAACCGCGAGGTATCTTAATAAATAAAAAGGGTGGATATAGAACTCAAAACAATAAGAGATCACTTACTCAATTTTCAGCATGAGGAGAATTCCCATTGTTATTTATTTATATAAAATTGTTATTTTTCAGGAAACGCCTTGTCGTGTAAAGAAACATTTAGTTTGCTGTATTACGAATTTGATGCAGTTACAAGAGAACCACCCCCATGGGATGCTGAAAGATACAAACTTATAAGTAAGTTTAAATTTTATTTAATTTATCTTCAACATCCTACATTGTCCCGTCTATCCCTTTTTTTTTGTTGAATGTAAGACCAAACATTTTCTGTATTACTATTTTCAACAGAGTTCAGATAGTTTTTTAGTTTCTTGCACTGAGACAGTCTTGAAAATTCGTTATAGTAATATTGAGATTTAGTCCTTATAAAATTATGTATTCTTAATATTTTGAATTATGTTTGAAGTATACCGGTATGGATATTTTCTATGTTTTGGTATTAGAACTCCTGAATTCAGCAATTCAACATAGTCTTGGTCAGAACACCACTGATTCCGTAAATTTTAACCACGTTACCGTTTCCAGTTTTCAGTATTTATTGTTTATGGGCCCGGTCTCGGTAGGTACGCCGGCCAGTACCAGAACCGCCTGCGCCATCGCTTCTTCCGCATTGAATAGGCATTACCCAGTGATAGTAAAATCGTTTTATAGCTCGGATACAGTTAATGTACCAGTCGAGAACAAAGAATTATCGAAGTACCTTAATGTTTCTCGAATAATAACATTTATTGCTATTTTCACATCATCGTCGATCGGTATGCTGCTTCGTCGGTGGCATTTTCACTACTTTTATTTTAAACGTCGTGATTTTGCGTTGAGTAACTGGAAATGAATGAGGTTGATTTTGGGGAATATCAGCAATGTTTTTAGTAAAATTGTACTCTTTTAAGAAAAATGCCAGCTTTCGGAAAATGTATTGAATGTTTTCCATCTTCAGGGTGTTACAATAAAATTGTTTAATGTGAAAATTGGGAAATATTCCCAATATGTTGTACTTACATCTTAGCACTATTTAAATTTTTTAAAGTTATATACCAGAAAAAAGTGCCATAATTTTAACCACGTATTTAGCGCATCAAAACAAACTACCTGTGTCAAATATAAGTTTTGAAAATTTATAGATGGGCACCTTGTATTTCTAAGATTATATAAATTCCTCTCTTAAAATATTGGGAAGTGGCAGTAAATAATTGAAGATTTTAATATAAATTGATTTAATTCTGCCTATCGTTTTATTAAAAAATATTTTACTGGGAGTGTTTTTTCAACTTTTTTAATTCTTCGAGTATCCAAATTCAGATTGTTTAAATTCGTTGGAATAAAAAATATCTTTAGGTATTTATTTTAAATATATTAGACATTATTCTGTTTAAGATTTTTATTCAATATATTTCTACCATAAGTTATGTATATTATATAAATTTAATTAAATACGGTATAATATAGGAAATAGGAATTTCAAAAACCACATAGAAGTTATATGACATCTTTAATTGTTTCTTTTAAATAAGCATCGTAATAAAAAAAAATTATTTTAGGATACATTTTGTTCTTCGAAAACTCATCATCTCTGCAAATTTATTCAACATGGATAGGGCCTAAAGGAGACCAGACAATAAAATAACAATATTCCTTGCCTGAAAGATGTAGCTGCCCTTGTTTTTTAAATACAACAACCCCTCCTTATCATAGGCAAGACATTTAATTTTCTTTACAGCTACTCCTTGTTCTATTGAGCAGCTTTTCAGGACAAAGGGATATTTCACTTCAATAGTAAAATTGTTGTCGTCTTCAATCAATAACACTTTAAAGTTTTATTGAATATTAAAATAACCTAATTTCCTACATAGAATTAGCTTTATTAACCGATTTATAAAGTTTTATAAAACTATAATTGTTTTTTAATTAGGGGATTAAAAGATTTAAGATTGTTGTTTTGGAATAAGATATTGTTGATTTCTCGGAAAACTTTATTCTTGATAAACGCGTCTGCATCAGCCAAATATATTGTATTTTCTTATTTTACCTTTGAAGTTTGTGTAATAATAATTACGAATCCGCTTTTAAAATATATTGTGTTAGGTTTTTAATAATACTCGTATACTTTAACAAATTTTATATTTTTATCTTTCTACCAATTAACTCTGACAAATCAATGTTCTAAATTCCTGCCTATGATTTATTTTATAGCTAAATATATTTACGTAATCGTGACTAACACTTTTCGGTAATTCTGAATAATTGTAACTAATATAGGATGTCCCAATTATAAACCATAGATATAGTATGTTCTAGAATATTTGTTAATACTTATAAATAATTTTTATTTAGTAAAGCAAATACTATAATAATAATTATAACAATAATTAATAATGATACCTACTACCCATAACAATAATAACTTACAATATGTTTTTAATAAAAATAATATCCAACTCATAAACTCTAACAATTGACAAAAATATACACTAAATGTTCATTTAAATTTATAAAATTATTTAAAAAATGCAGGAGGAAAGTAAAACAGACATACTGTCAAAAACATAAAAATCCAGAATCTCAGAAAAAGGTAACACACCCAAGCTCGCTCGCCACGGCACTGGTGACAGTTTCGACCAGCGCTAACAAATATTTTATTTATTTTTAGCAAGTTTTAGAACAAAAACCTTTATTTTTGTTGTGCGCTCAAACGGCTAAAGATAAAAGCATGAAATTTTGGAAATTGTTACATCTAACTAATATCTAAAAAGTTATGGCAGCAGATTTTTGAAAAAAAAATAAAATTGGAGTGAAAATATTTTTTTCTCAAAAATTAGACTTCTCAAAAAAAATCTGCTACCACTAAAAAGTAAGGTAAATTAACATTTTTTATATAAAAAAACACAAATTATTGGTGCACATATCTTTAAGTTAATTTAAAATTATTTTCTTAAAAATTTAATTAGAAATTTCTTCTAACACGTTGCTCATGTACTATAAAAAATATACTATAAAAAACAGGACGTTATTTCCTTAGAATGACATTGATGTATGACAACCACAAGACAGCTTCTTCTTCTCTTTACTTTGTGTTGAGTTTGACTGTTCTTGTGGTTTAATGTCATTGTAGAAAAGTAATAACAAGAAACTATTCTTTGGTTGATATAACCTCAATTATTGTTTGCAAAATTCTAGCAATTTTAGTGTTGCAATGGAGGTATAGAATCGAAAAATACTTTAAACTTATGTTTTATTTTAATTTATGCGAGTAACTTTTACAATTATTACACACTCAAGACATATGACAGATATATGAAAAATTGACACTTATGATAGACAGGGTAACCAACCTCTACAAAAATAAACGAACTAAAAATTAGATTTGCCATTGTGCGAATAGATCTTCTGCACAAACAGGTCTTTCACTCCTTTGGCTTTAGATTTTCTTATTTTCTTCCTAACATTTTCGTCCTTTGGTTACAAAATTTTCTTTTTAAAAGCATTATAGTCTTTTCTTTGATCGGGGTATCAGTAAAAATCCCGCTCAACCTCCTTCTTTTGTGAATGGTTTTATTTTTCCTAGGTTGGAGTTTTAAGAAATATTCTGGTATAGATGGGACTCTTCCATAGATATGGTGCACTTTTAACATAGCGATTGTCAACAAAGTTAAAAGATTATAAGAATAATACTTTAACGATAAAAAAACCCAACATAACACCGAAAATTAATCATTCAGAATCTCCTAACAAATAATTTTCATAATAGTAACCTAACCTACTTAACAACGATTAATAAAGTCATTCTGAGTTCCGATCTAAATACGAATAAATAAATGTCAAAGTCGGTAAGCATTACGCAAAAATTTGCGGTTCGCATTTATCAAAAAAAAAAAACTTTCTTGATAAATTTATACGCAGATCGATCGAGAAAAAATGGCCGTATAATTACAATTACAATACCAAACGCAAACATAGAATGCGACTGTGTCATAATTTACAGAGACATAAATAATACAGACAACTTAATTAAATATAATCCGTAATTATTATTGAGTTGGGCGACAGGTAGGTAGGCAGGCACGGACTTCCGGTAAACATTTAGAAACTACATAACGGTATTTGGCTAGTTATTATACAAGATGTTTTCTAAAATCATAAAAATTAAATATTATGTACGCATAACCTGTAAAAAAATTGCATGGTCGTTGATTAAAATAAAATAATTACAAATTTGGCCCCACGTTGGGCGCCAAAAAAACACGCACTTTTCTTATGCAAACGGGAAAAGCATCACTATTTTTACAAAATAATAAATAACAGAAAAATTTAGCAGGCCTACTTTCCCCCACCCCTTATGCCTACAGTTACATTTTCATCGTGAATCACTCTGTATAGGAAATAGTTAAATATTATTAGAAACCCAGTTTACTACAGATTTCGTGTGATTGGTAATTTCGCTTGTATTGCCCATATATATTTATAAAAATAATGTTATCCATCATCATAAAAGAATGCAATGTAATTCCTACATCACCGCAATAAAATGTTCTGAATCACATATTTCGATTCTCGTCAACAGTAAAAATCCAATTTCTCTCTAATTGATCAATAACAAAAATAGAACAACGTCTCGTTCTAGTGCCACATTGACATGAAACGTGTAACCTTTTATTCCTTGTAAAAAAGATCGCGAATTAGCGATAAAATCGTTTTTACAACTTTTAGCGATTGGAAAATTGATTCTTAATGTTTCAATTAATTATGTGTCAAATAATGGTTCATTATTGGTTGATTGGATGCTATATAGTACGTTTTATTGGTACAATTTCTATGGGGTAGACAGTTGACAAATTAACGAGTTCACCCTATAATCTATCTCTATCTAGTTTTACTCGTATCACAGTGTACTTACAAAAATAGATTCTCAAGGTTGTTGAAGTTAAACATTTCAAGTTAAAAGGTATTACAAACATCATAACTTCGTTTCACAAAATAATAAATCAATCAAACACTCGTTTTCCCATTTTCCTGATTTACGAACAAGACATCAAAGAAATTCCACGTGAAAGAAAAAAATTCCAAAAAGCCGCAACAATTAATCATGCGCCTGGTAATAAATATATACATTCTTCCAGTGAGGTGAATTCTTTTAAAAAATTAATCGTCGTTATAGCTACTACAAAACTCAAAACAAATAT